CCAACTGTCACGAGGCCAGCCAATCAGATGCTGTGCCTTGACCAACCAATTAGAATGCAACACAGGTTGTTGCTGGGTTATAACAGTTTGGAGAGGGGTCTGAGAGAGAGAAGGTGATAAGATAGGTGGGGCTTCTGTGGGGAAAACCTGAGGTAGACAAGTTGATAAGATAGGAGAGGTTTCTGTGGGGCAAGGCTGAGGGAGAAAAGGCAATAGGATAGGGAAGGATACTGCGAGGCAAGAATGAAGAGAGAAGGGGATAAGATAGGGGAGCTTTCGGTTGGGCCAGGCTGAGAGAGGGAAGGGGATAGGATAGGGGAAGATTTTGTGGGGCAAGCCTGAGGGAGAGAAGGGGAGAGGAGAGGTCGATGGAAACTAGTCATTAATTTTCAAGCTGTAAGTGTCGATTTATCAAGTTTTGTAGCGGAGCACAGGTATTCAGCTGGTGAAAAATATATTACTGAAGAGTTGGTTTTACTGAATTAACTACTACAGCTGGACAATGCTTTGGATTTGATTCTTTAAAAGTGCTTTGAGCACATAGGGCATGGCCATAATATTTTATATAAACTCTTTAAAGTAGCTATGTCTTCTCCTAGACATAGCTACTTTAAAGAAGGGTGGTGCTACCCTCTGAAGCTGGCCTGTAATTCTGGGAAAAGACATAGTTACTTTAAAGGGTTACAGACCTGTGCCACATTTTTAAGCATTAAAAATTAGAGCCCAAAGCTGTATCCCATTTTTTATGGAGCTGAATAAAATTGCCTAGTCCTACTGGCTACTCTTTTCCTACTTCATGAAGAAAGGTGTCATTTACAGGAAAAATGGTACTTTCTTAGAAGCAAGTGTTATTGCACAGCAAAGCAAGCCAGCAACCACTCACAACTTGCTAGAGCCCCACTCTCTTATTTGGAAGGTTTCAAGCAAACTCACTTTCAAGAAACAAAAAGGTTGCATTTGGTAAGCATCATGAGTCGTTTATTTCTGAATTCTTGAAAATGCATTTGAAAAGGAGAAAATCAATTTGCTACTTCGTTATGGTTAATTTCTACAGTACATTTCAGCACTCAAGCATTTTCACAGTTCTCATCCTATTAGTCTTCACTACAACATGAGATACAAGAAAAATAAAGGGACATTGCCAAGGTTGTTCCCTCAGCTTCATCACTTTTCTTTAGCTTTTCACTATAAGCTTAATAGTGTGTGTGTGTGTGTGTGTGTGTTGTATTTGTGCTGATAAATAAATAAAGGGAGACTACGTACTGTAGATCTATTTCAAGCTATTTAGCTCTCATCAGCTAGCCATACCCTTACTGGGATTCGAACCTGGGCTGTATTACATATTAGGCAGATGTGTTTATCTATTTATTTATTTATTTATTTATTTATTTATTTATTT